TCTTGCTCTACGCCTTTCTGGATATGGGACTACGAGCCAGTGAGTCAGTCTCTCTGAGACTCAGTCTCTTCTCCTGTAAAATACGATATGATTCTTATAGATTATAGACTGTGCATTCTCATTGGGGCTATATTTCCCCCAAGGGGGTGAAATAGGTTCGAGGGGAGGACAAAAATTGTACTTACAAATGTAACATACAGATATACATGCAGTACCTAAACAGATATGAGCATACCTGTGATACTAAAATGTTATAGGAATAGTGGCAATTAGAAAAAAATTCTTAAAAGAGTCCTCAGGGGAGTAGATAATGAAAAAAACAACAGTTGAGCAACTCTGCTATAGGATTGCTATGAGGATAAAAGGAGGGACAGCTTGTACAGTCCTTTGCAAAGAGTCTAGCACTCAGGGACCATTCAGTAACTAGTAGATGCCATGATTGTTTGTCCAAGCATGACTTCATTCAAAATGTACACACTGATTCCAACCATTCTTCAGGGCTATGCAAGTTTTACTGGCATTACAGGGACAGATAAGGCACCACCTCATTCACCAATGAGCTAGGTCAAAGCTAAGCACAACAGCTGAGCACCATTATAGATGGATACACACGGGATCTAGGGGCCAAGGGGAGAACATAGATGAGTTCTTCATTTCTTTCCACTCCCTCCTGCTGGGTTCAATGAAGTCAAGAGGTCACTAGGGACTTCTTTTCCCAATTCACAGCCTTGGCGGCAGCCTCTCTTCCTCACAGCACAAAAGGGAAACCCCCAATCCTCCACCATCACTAAAGCATCATTTTGATCTGGAGAGTAATTAATGGAATTATTATTGACGGCCTCCCATATGGAAAAACATTCTGCTCATTGCTGGAGATGTAAAGATGAATGAAAGAACAAGACTCAATTTCTGCTCTTGTCTCTGGTGCAAAAAACAAATGCTTAATATGGACACGTTGCTGTAACATGAAATAAAAGGTCCTATTTGCAGGAAACTGTGAGAACACAGAGAATGTTTGAAGAAGTTGATTCAGTTGAATCTTGAAGAATAAGCAAGAGTTAACAGGGTGAAGAAGGTGAGAAATGCAGAAGCACTGTACACAAAGGGTGGAATGGTAGTGTAGGGAGACGCAAGAGTGGGTGAGGCGTGAGGCATGGAGTAAAAACAAAGGTGGAGGGGAACCTGATGGACAGCCTAGACATGGAGGACCTTGAGTGCTAAGTATTGTTTTGCAATGAAGATCTGCAGTTATATGAGACTCAGGTGGAGAAAACCTAGTCTTATAGTTGCAACTGGAGAATCCAAGGGTTCCTCCAAGGAGCAGGGCTGTGTGGCCCCCAGTACCCCACATTGCCGGGACTCAGCTTATCTCCATTCTCACTTCCTTGCTTGCTTCCTTGCTGTGTGCGTCAATCTTACCGGCTTATTTCCAGTTCTGTAAATGCCACAGTACCTTTGCATATGTTGTGGTTTTCTCTGCCTGCAATAGGTCCCCCATTGTTTATAAGAGTATTAAATTAATATCTGTCTTCCACATTAGACTTCAAACTAGGGGCTGTACCTGTCTTTGTTCAACGTTATAACTTTGGCATCTAGCATGATATAGGTTCTCAGTAAACATTTATGGAAGGAAGAAAGGGTGGGAAGAAGGACCTTAGCTGCGAATCTAGAACCCCACAAACTTTCATATACCTTTCCCTCTACCCCATTCACCCCCCAGCTGAGAGTGCCTACTTGGAACCTGTTCAAGGGTTAGGGCTAGAACCTCATGCTGGCAGTTGAGACAGTAATTTCCTGTCAGGCCTTGTCATTTGAGTAATTTGCCTTCAGTGGATGAATACTAATAGTCAATGACAGTGAAAGCAACCTTGGTGTTATTTCTTCATAGTTCACTTCCAAAACTGAAACTAAGCATGTTCAATTAATCTTGGCTACCAACATGGTTAGAGAAAGTAAGCAAGTGTCTGAGAACTGCAGGATCCCGAGAGTCCACTTGTGTGTCCATGCAGTGATGGCCCTAAAGCTGACTTAGCCATGGAAAGCCTTAGAACCATTGCAGAGTGACCAAGTGGCACCATGCAGTGTTCTTCAGGACTGAGCAGGAACATGAAAGCAGAACTGAGAAGGGCACTCACAGCACTCTACAGCAGCCCCTGCTTGTCCTCAGGGGATGAATTCCCAGACCCACAGTCGACACCTCAATCTGTGGATATTACCCAACCCTATATATGCTTATTTGCCCTATACATATATAGCTATGTTAAATTTTAATTTACAAATTAGGAATTGTAAAATATGAACAATGATAACTAATGACAAAATAGAACAATGATAACAATACTCAAAACGACACACAATTTGAAACTTATGAATTGTTTATTTCTGGAATTTCCCATTTAATATTTTCAGACCTGTATTGACCATGGGTATCTGAAATTGCACAAAGCAAAGCCATGGATATGGGGGAGCTACTGTATTCAGGTTTTGATAGGATTTCTGAAGGGTTGTATTCTCCATGAGGTATTGTCTTTATTGAAAACATGCAGTGGTGACAGGCAAATGATCCAGGGTTCAAATCCTGAGTCATTGTTTACGACGTGTGTGTCTCAGGCACGAGCTTTGCCCCCTATGAGCCTCGGTTTCCTTATTGAGAAACTGTGGGGGAAGGGGATCAAAATAGAACTTCATTCGTTGTCATTGTAAAGATTAATTCGAACGATGTGTGCAAAATATGTAACACCAATTCTTGAATGTGAAAAGTGCTACGTCTGCATTATCCACTGTTATTATGAGTTAATATGATTATTATCACCATAAGTATCATCCTCCCAGAGTAGAAATATAAGCTTAGATTTTCAGATATTTATTTGGCATTCACAGTGTGCTGGGACCTATGTAGATAAGCTTAGATAAGCTTATATTTACATGGCTTTAACAGTATGCTAGGTAGAACCTATGTAGATATTGTTACCAAAAGATGTATACGAGAAAGTTCCTAGCAACAGTATTTGGATCGCCAAACAGGAAATAATCCAGATGCCCATCGACAATAGAATAGGTAAATAGACTCAGTACAGTCACATAATAGAATACTATATGATGATTAAGGTACATATAGTAGCCTGGATACTATATAGTGATCAGTGATTACTGTTACAGTGATTAGAATAAACTACCATGACTCACAGCCACATGATGAATCTCACAGAATGTAGTATTGAATGAAGAAGCCAACGAGGAAAGAGTGCATGTTGTATGATCCCATTAGATGCAGTGCAAATGCAGGTAAAACCAATCTATGGTATTAGAAGCTAGAATAATGTAGCCCCTGGGGAAGAGGGTAGGAATTTTACTCAGGAAAGGAGGGAACTGGTAATATGTCATGTTATGGTGTGGGTGCTGGACAGTTGGGTGTGCTTACTTTGTAAAAATTCATTGAGTTGTACATTGTGATGTATGCACTTTTCTGTGTCTACATTATGCTTTGATTAAAGATTTACTAAACAAATGAGCCTGTTCAGCAGAGAGCAGAAAGCATAGAGTACAATTTTATGCTTGCTCACAAGGGGCCTCAAAGTCTACAGCAGAAGACAGATAGGCAAATGTGGGCACAGACAATGAGTTATGATACCCACAGTAATAGAAGTTTGTACCACATGCAGAATCACCATCAAAGGGAGCATGATCAGCCATCATAGCCTCTGCTTGTGTCAATGCCATGTGCTCCACGTGGTTCATGCAGGGGGCCCATCTTCCCCATTCCTTCCCACACATGGCGAAGCCATTCCACGACAGGAACATTGTTCACTTCTGCCCACTCTCCATGTCACTAGCACCACTGCCTTCATTTTGGACAGCCATCTTTGATACAACACTGAAACGTTTGAAACTGGTTCTCTTGGCCTCTCTTCTGCCCTTCTTTAAACCACTTGCTATAACCCAGATATGCAAATTACAGTCTTTGTATTGGATCCTCTGGATTCTTACAAAGCACCCTGTGGGCTGGGCATGGTGGCTTACACCTGTAATTCCACCACTTTGAAAAGACCAGGCAGGTGGATCACCTGAGGTGAGTTCGAGACCAGGCTGGCCAACATAGTGAAAGCCACTTTCTACTAAAAATACAAAAATAAGCCAGGCATGGTGGTATGTGCCTGTAATCCCAGCTACCCAGGAGACTGAAGCAGGAGAATTACTAGAGCCTGGGAGGTAGAGGCTGCAGTGAGCCAAGATCGCACCACTGCACTCCATCCAGCCTGAGCGATGGAGCAAGACTGTCTCAAAAGAAAAGCACCCTGTGTGATTCTGATGCACCTCAATCCTTGAGAAGCACTGTTCTCCACTGGAAGCAGAGCACACACCCTATCTTGACCCTCTCCACACAACAAATCGTCCAGGGCCACCAGAAATCACCCTGACTTGCTGGCTTTTCCCAACTTGTCTCCCAGATATTATCAGGCTCATTTCCACCGTTCCTTTCTAGATCCACAACATCCCTGCCACCGTTTAAGTATGCCTCTGAGCCAAGCATGTCATTAATTCTCTTTCCCTGAGTCCATTTTGCTATTTATCCCTCATCCCTGTGCCTTCGAATAGCCTGTAATGTCTTCCACATTCTTAAGGGCCATCTCATCTCCTGCTCATCTTCAATACCCAGCTTGAATACTATCTCTCTGCAGCTCTCCTCAATGCCCCTGAGCACCCTGTGTTTCTGCTCAGTCACCCACACGTGTCAGGATTAGATCACTTCCCTCAAGTGTGCATTCTCAGAGCTTAGCACCTACCTGGAATGTGCCAGGTGGTCAAGGGCATGTCTTGATTGAGTGAAGTCTTCCCGCACAAAGTCACTTGGGTACAAGCAGCTTCCTGTGGGATAAAGAACAGCGTTTGTGAACTCCGGGGTGGGGAGCTATGTGTCAATTCACATTTGACAGATCAGAGATGTCTCAGAGCTAAGCTGCCCAACCTACTCATGCTCCTTCTGTTGTTTTGTTTCCTAGTGACCTTCAGTGACTGTAAGGGAAATGACAAGCTACGCTATGAGGTCTCAAGCCCATACTTCAAGGTGAACAGCGATGGCAGCTTAGTTGCCCTGAGAAACATAACTGCAGTGGGCAGGACTCTGTTTGTCCACGCACGGACCCCGCATGCAGAAGACATGGCAGAACTCGTGATTGTCGGGGGGAAAGACGTCCAGGGCTCCTTGCAGGTAACACATGTGTTTGAGATAACCTGGGTTCAAGGAGGACATTAGGTTCTGCCTGTCTTATGTGGAAAATGGGTCTTTATTACATTGGCTAAGATTCTTTTTGTCATTGTTGTTGCAAATGACAGAAACCCAACTCTAAAAATGTTGGGGAGGGGCAGTGGGAATTGACTGACTCATGTAACTAATTTAGGAATAGTTCATGGGTTAATTCATGTAACTATTTTAGGGATAGTTCTGCCTTCAGGCATGGCTATGTGCTGGTGTCCAAATGATGACATCAGCTTTAATCCCAATGCATCTCGTGGTTCCATTTTCCTTTTATTAGATATACTGAGATGGTCACATCTCTTTCTGCCTCCCAGTGTGGAGGTCTCAGCAATTCCTCTTACTTTCCTGGTATGAAGTCACCTGAGATACCATCTCTTCTAGATGATGCTAACAAAACCTTGAAATTGAATCTCATGGTACATCTAATAGGTTAGATCATGTGCCCACCCCTGAACTAAACGTGGTGTCCATTGGGTTGTGATGTTCTGGTTGGCCACATCTTCACATTGCTTTTCCTGAAGCCAGGGCAGAGTCAGCCCTATTCACCTAAAAACATATGGACTGAGAATGAAATAATTGTAGTTACTCTAAGTAAATTAAGGAGCTGTTTTCAGAGGAAGGGAAATGGATGGTGAATAGGCAAGAAACAGTGGCCCACTAGAATTGCATATGATCCTGCATATAGTGCTATTATACATATATGATGTGTGTGCATGTGCACATATATGTACATGTATATGTTACATTCACATATACCATATGTGTGTATATGGTGCTGTATGTGTAAATGGTATATATTTGTGTAAATACCATATACATGTGTGTATACCATATACATGTGTGTATACTATATATGTGTATGTACCATATGCAATGTACCATGATATATGTACCATATGCATATGTGTATATGTATATGTATGCATACATATGGTATATGTGCGTGTATACACATACACATACATCCACGTTTAATATGTCAGAGATACCTCAAAGCTAAGCTGCCCAACCTACTCATGTTCATTTTGTTGTTTTATTTTGTTTTGCTTCCCAGCGACCTTCAGTGACTTCAGTATATGTATGCGTGCTTATGTATATATGTATATGTAATTGTATATGGTGCTGTATATGTATATGATGTATATATATGTCTATATGTATGTGTATATACACACGTATGCACCCACATTTAACAGGTCACAGATATCTCAAAGCTAAGCTGCCCAACCTACTCATGCTCTTTCTGTTGTTTGGTTTCCCAATGACCTTTGGTGACTTTGTGTAAATATGTGTGTGTGTGTATGTATATACAGGCATACACAGACTGTATATGGACATATACAGTGTGTATGTATATATATGTGTGTGTGTGTGTGTGTATATATACATATACACGGTATATCTGTATTGTATGTCTGTGTAGTTGCATATGGTGCTGTAAATGTATATGGTGTACATGTATGTCTCTCTATATACTGTGTATAGGTACGTGTGTGTATACATACATAAATGGTATATCTGTATTAGATGTATGTGTAATTGCATACGGTGCTCCTCCTTTGCCGAGCAGCAAAGCTTGTTCCCTTCCACAAGCACATGTGTGCTGATCCTTGCACTCCCACACATACATTTACACTTTATGAGTGCCACAAATTGCCATTCAGGCTTCCCGATTGTGCCATTCAGAGACTTTTTTCTTTTTTTTCTTTTTTTTTGAGACAGAGTCTCACTCTGTCTCCAGTCGCCAGGCTGGAGTGCAGTGGCACAATCTCAGCTCACTGCAACCTCCGCCTACTCGGTTCAGGCAATTCTCCTGCCTCAACCTCCTGAGTAACTGAGACTACAGGCACGCACCACCACGCCCAGCTAATTTTTGTATTTTTTAGTAGAGATGGGGTTTCACCATGTTGGTCAGGATGGTCTTGATCTCTTGACCTCATGATCCACCCACCTCGGCCTCCCAAAGTGCTGGGATTACAGGCTTGAGCCACCGCACCTGCCCCAGAGACTTTTTTCTACCACTGACTCACTCCTTCACCATGAGCTCAGAGACTCCACCTTCATGAGAAAAGGAGGGCAAGACACACAGCAGGACTCCAGCCAAACAATGACTTAATGATGGCATGTCTCAGCTTGGCGTGCCTAGCCTCTCCTATCTGCAAGCTTCATCTTCCTCAATTTTTCACAGCCCCTGATTCACATCCCTTTTCTTCACCTGCCATATTACCCATATCCCTGCTTGATCTGCTGATTTTGTTCAGTGGTGGAGTGAGCGTGGGTCACACAGCTGGGAGCAGAGACAGTATGACTGGCAATGTGAGGGTTGCCTTCCTGCCAGTGCTGTTTGTGTGATCTTGAGAGCATCATATAGCTTCTTTATCTGCAGAGTAGAGAGGTTAAACAGCCTGCAGTGGCAAATAAGTGGCTCATGTGCCATCCTACTGACACCATTCTCATGGCAGATATTGCTAATAACCTTTGGCTTAGCCCGAGTATCCTTCTCAGTACAATGCTTCTGGAACCTACTATCAATTGATCATTTAGTGATGTTTCTGAGGATGGAATCTATTTGCCACTCCTGGACTGGACAAACTTCACAATTCCCCTTCACATCTGTGAAGCTGTGAGTTAAGGGTAGATTGCAATGTAAAAGGAATGCACAGCATATCCGTGATGTTTCAGAGAACACAGGATACTGGTGAATTCGTACCAGTGTGGAAATTCATGACACCACAAAGGCAAGCTTTTCTCTTTCTCAGCCATGACCATTTTCACAGCATCTCACTAATCTGTGATATAAATTATGTGGCAAATATCTAAAGCAATGAAGTTTCCAGGATGCACAGCAAAAACAGTGTTGCATAGGAGTGGTATGTAAATGGCATGGTAAGGGGGTTTGCCCACAGACTTGAATGTATTTAGATAGAAATTGTTCATCATGAATGGTGGCTCATCTTTTTTATCTAGAAAAGACAGTGTCGTAGTGTTTTGCTTGAAAGAGAGCAGAAGGGGCTCTGAGCAGGTTACCGGGACCAACTCCACCTTGAGGGGCTGGAAGAGCTTGGTTCTTTATGAAAACTCAGCCACGTATTGTTGGTCCCTCGGGTTCCTGTGAGATGCCGTCCAGAGACAGAGCTCCTCTGAGCCCTGGCTGTTTCTCACTTGCCGCTGTCTGTAGGCATTTTCAACAAAACTTGGTTGTGTTTGTTTGCTTCTTATAAAGCAGGCGGAGGTTGCCGTGTTCTTTAGTTTGCCAGACTTCAGCAGAACAGGGCGTTCATCTCCCACCTCCAGTAATTTTATGAGGCTTGAAAACAGGCTTTGTGAAGATGTATTAGCTGTGTCCTTAACAAAAAGCACCCAAAAAGGAAAAAAAAGAGAGAAAGAAAATAAAGGGAAAACAAAATAGACAGCAAAAGAATCTTCTGAAGAGAGCACAGACCTCAATGGATGTGTAGTTGGTATTTCTTCAGTCCTACTGTGTGCAGCCAAGCGGGCCAGCTGCTAGCGAGGGAAATCAGTGAGTGCCTGAGTCAGCTCAGCCCCTGTTGGGGAGGGAAAGTGAATGTGTGCATGGATGCTTGGGTACCAGGCAGGGAGCTAACAGTGATTGATGACCTGTGCATTTGGAAAGGGGAGAGGTCAAGGGGACTTGGGGTGGTCCTCACGGCACCAGCCAGGTGCCAGGTGTTGTTCCATGGGCTACAAATGCTGACTCGTGTAATCTCCTTAGCAATTGGAGGCAGATGCTACTATCTCCTGTTTATTGATTTTACTGATGGGGGAACTGACATACAAGAGGCAAGTGACATTTCCAAGATCTCAAAATGAGTAAGAAGTGGGATGGAAGTGAGTCTTGAGCCCCAGCAGCCTAGCCCCTGAGTCCATGCCTCCAGCCCCTCTATGAGCTGGACTTTGAAAGATGGGTCAATGTGCGTAGTTGGGAGTGTCTATAAGGGAAATGTCTGACTGTCTGCAAGATGTTTCTTACTTGCAGTAAATTGCTTTACCTTCTGAGCCTCTACATAGTTTTGATTTTTTTCATTTGTAAAGTATAAATAATAGACCTGTTCGGATCTTCGTGTGGATTAAATGAGACAATCCATGTAGCAGTAATACACAGCACTCAGCTGATGCTACAGCAGCGACCAACACTTGATGCTTACATAGTATTTACTGTATGGTAAACCTGGGCTTATTCAAGTCTTTCATCCTCATAACATGCAAAGGGAAGCTGTTACTATTGGTGCTATTATGATTAGTTAGTAGGTGGCAGAGCTGGGGCTTAGACCTCAGCGATTGGGCTCCAGAGTTCTCCTTTTTTTGTTTGTTTGTTTGTTTGAGACAGGATCTCACTCCCATCTCACAGGCTGGAGTACAGTGGTACAATCTCAGCTCACTGCAACCTCTGCCTCCCGGGTTCAAGCGATTCTCCTGCCTCAGCCTCCCAAGTAGCTGAGATTACAGGCACCCACCACCACACTTGGCCAATTTTTGTATTTTTAGTAGAGAAGGGATTTTGCCATGTTGGCCAGGCTGCTCTTGAACTCCTGACCTTAAGTACTGCCTCAGCCTCCCAAAATGCAGGGATTATAGGCATGAGCTGCAGTGCCCAACCTGGAGCTCTCTGCTTTATCAGTAGGTACTATTGGCTCACCATCTGCAACAGAGCAAGACTGTACAATGTTCACTCCCACCACCGCAATTATATTAGAGGCAATCAGGGCCTAGAACCGAGAATGTCAGATAGTCAGGACCAGTTCAGTGCCCTTCCCACATCCCCTTTTCCCATGACTGAACCTGATGGAACACTCCTGCGGCTGCCTGTAAATTCTGGCCCTTGATGTCTGGCTCCCACCCTGCATCCTGCTTCTTCCCAGCCCTTTGGTTGGTGACACTGTTGGGCAACCTGGGTGCAATCTGTCTTCTCATTCTCAGCTGGGAGCTCTGCA